TCTCTCTCTCTCTCTCTCTCTCTCTCTCTCTCTCTCTCTCTCTCTCTCTCTCTCTCTCTCTCTCGTTTTTCGAGACAGGGTTTCTCTGTATAGCTTTGGAGCCTGTCCTGGAGCTAGCTCTTGTAGACCAGGCGGGCCTCGAACTCACAGAGATCCACCTGCCTCTGCTTCCCACGTGTTGGGATTAAAGGCATGCGCCACCACTGAAAGCTTTCTCTTATATCAAGTTTCTCCCTATGATCAGAAAACTCATATGTAGTTCTCAGGTTTGCTTTCATTATTAAATGACGTACTTTTCTAACAAATTTTAAACTTCTGCATATTCCTAAATAATGCTGTTAAAGTTTAATACAAATGTCCTTAAGAGTGCCACTGGATCTTACAGATGTATGGTTTTTCTATTTGGACAGTTTATACATTAATGCTATATAATTGGTTCCTATACTCAACACTAAATCCAAAACACATACCTATCTTTCTTAAAAACACATTAAAAAAAAAAGTACCAGACTTTTACAAAATACAATTAAGGTTTCAGTGGCTCACTTCCCCGTATTTTGCCCCAAATGTATCAGCATCAATCATACTTTAAATAATGCCTTCCTTTACTATCAGAGAACTTGATGCAAAATACAGATTAAGATATTATAAATAAAATCTAAAAATCAAAACTGAAATCCAAAAGCACACTATGCTTAGCTAAGCTTGCTTCCAAATTCTGACTACAGTGTTGTCAAAAACAAAACAAAACCTACAGCTACATGAGTAAATAGTTCATCATCATAGCCATGCACCCCCCTCTCCTGTTTGAGGCCCACCCTGCCCAGACTGGCTTAGAACTCTCTAGGTAGACCCGGTTTGCATGGAACTCACGGAACTCACGGAACTCACAACAATGCTCCTGTCTTAATTCTTCCGAATCCTGGAGTTACAGACACGAGCCACCACAGTAGGCTTCTCAAAGAACACTATAACCATAGTAGAAATGTGCAGACTTGGGGCTGGAGAGCATAAGAACATAGGACCCAATTTCAGGTCTGAGCACCCAGTAGGGCAACTCAAAGCACCTGTAACTCAAGCTCTAGGATTTCGGGCTCCGGCTGTCTAGGTTCCAAGAGCACATCCTTCCCCAAATTAAAACAAAACAAAACCACTTTTTTTTTTTTTTTAATGTGTGCGTGCACTTTTCTCCTTTGGAGTGTATCACAGTGACCTATAGAGGGTACTCCAAAGGCAATGTGGCTTAGAATAACGGGCCGCAAATCAGCAATGGCAAACATTAACTAATGAGCTTTTAAACCACTACAAGTCCTCTGCAGCCTTCTTTTAATTTTAGTTCCCATGACTGAGAGCAGGAATCCCTGCTCTACTGTCTTCATGTCAGCAAAGGCGCTGTGTTTGTTGTCTGTTTTGCTTTCTTTTACCCGCAAAAACTAAAACCTAAAATCCCTAGGGAGTCTTGGATACGCGTGGATATAGTTTGCTGTCTTATACACCTGCTCTTGTTCATAAAATACCACATAACTATGGAATGGCTAACAAGGGCGAAAATTAAGACTTTTAGGGTAACCAACTGCCTCAACTAAAGGTTCCTCCCTGGTTAAGTACCGCTCACTGAGTACTCGCTAGTATTGAAGTTGCGAGTCAATTTTTGTAGAAATATCGCGACTACCAGGAGTTAGTCCAACGCAAGGCACAAGAATGGCAAACGGTAAAAGCAAAAGAAAAAATTTAAATTAAAAAAAAAAAGCCGCTATCTTAAACTGCCTTGTCTTTTTTCTCCCTTGTGCTGGAGACGGAACCCAAGTCTTCATGTATGTACCTAGAGCGCTACTACCGAGCTACTCAAGCAACTCGGCGCTCTCTCTTAATGCCCATGCACACTAGCAGGGAAGACAGCAAGTGAAAAAAAAAAAAATTCCAGAAACCTGACCTTGTCCACAAGTCGCCTAATTCTGCACTCCTCCTCCCCCTAGTGTCCCCGCGAGCCTGTTCCCGCAGTCCCGAGTGCTCAGTCGGCCTGTTCCAACATCTGCCTGGCAGTCAGAGACTGACAGGCGACCAGAGGGTCCGACAGGAGGTGGCCCGAGAAACGCCGAGGCCCAAGAGGAAAGGACTCGGGGAGGCGAAGGCGAGAACCTTGACAGCGGAAGAGTCGGGCGTTAGGGACCAAGGCCTGCGAGGAGCACCGAGGGCACAGGGCAGAGTCCTGGGAAGGGATGAGCTGAGGGGCTGGCAGGCTTCGAGGGAGCACCCGGGCTGCGAGGCCGGGCAGGGCGCGGACTCACGTTCTCCCACTAGCAGGATCCGCACGTCTTTCTTCATGTTGGAGGCTCGCAGGGGCCGCACTCGGCCCGCACGCATGGAGCGCACGCCTCACGCCGGGAGCGCCCAGCCCGTGGCGCCGCTCTCCCACGCTACTGCCGTCTCCTGCCAGCCTCTCAGGCCTCTGCGCCCGATCTTCGGCCGCCCGGACTCGCCACACCGCCTCCCCGGCTGCCACTCCGCTCAGGAGCCGGGACAAACCAGCTCCGCCTCCTCCGGCTCCGCGGACGCGGGCGGCGGCGCGGACGACGGCGTGCGGCGAGGGACATGCGCTTTCGCAACGCGAACGCTCTCATGGCTGGAATTAGCGCCCTCGCGGGCAGGCAGACGGTAGCACAAAACCCGGACTGCGACGGACACAGCCAGAGATGTAGGTGGCAGATCCCGTAGTCCGATCCCACCGGTTAGTTGGTTGGTTGGTTGGTTGGTTGGTTGGTTGGTTGGTTGGTTGGTTGGTTGAATTTAACTAGTTAATGTTTACTTATTTATTCAATGTATGCAAGTGCTCTGTATATACATCTTTGTGTCAGAAGAGGGCATCAGAACCTACTACAGGTGGTTGTGAGCCACCATGTAGTTGCCTAGAATTGAACTCCGGATCTCTGGAAGAGCAGCCAGTGCTCCTGAACCTCCTTCACCATCTCTCCAGCAGCAGATGCCACTGTTTTACAGAATAAGAACATAAGAAGTTCCTTGTCCAGGGTCATACAACGGGAGCTTCGTCATGACTCAGAGCATGGAACCTTCTCACTAAACAATGAGGTCCAGAAGAGCAAGCGACCTGCCTGCCCATCTGGTTTTCAGAATGATTTATTGAACAAGTGACTCGCTCCCAGGGTGTGTATACTCCCCACAGCACATCACTGTTTGTTGTTTTTCAAAATGTATTATTTTGTGTATTTGAGTATGACGTGTGCGTTTGAGTGCCTTCCACCGTGAGTGTGGGAGCTCAGAGGACAGCCCTCATGAGTTGATTCTTAGCCAGTGTGATTACACATGGCTTTAGCTCCAGCACTGGAGAACAGAGGCAGGTGGATCTCTATGAGAGATCTGGTCTACATAGTAATAGTATGTAGTAACATTAATAGTAAGTTCCAGGATAGCCAGGGCTATGAAAAGTGACCTATCTCAAACTTTCACTTTGGATTCCAGGGGTCAAAATTCAAGTCATCAGGCTTGAACAGAAAGCACTGTTCCTGCTACTATATCACCGCCCAATTAATTACATTTTTAAAAGAAGAACATGATAGTTTATGCCTATATTTCCAGCATTTGGGAGGCTGAAGCAGAAGGATTGCCACGAGTTTGGGACCAGCCTGGACTATAGAATGAGACCTAAACAGGCATGGTGTTATGCACCTGAAAAAGTGGAGGCAGGAGGATTGAGCAATCAAAGATATCACCTACACAGAGAAATTTCATGCCAATCGAGCTACAAGGGACTTCGTCTCAAAACAACACACCCACCAAAAATTATACATACATTATACATATGTGAAACTAATTTAAAGAGATTCAAATGTGTATGTGATCTCTGTAAGTCTTGTGGTATACAGCAGTTCAGAGATGCTGAGCAGTTTCCTGGATTTCAATCCAGATTCCTCCATCCACAAGAAACAGTCCTGAGTAAGGCCACTGACTTCCCTGAGCCTATTCCTCCTTAGGTGGCATGGTACTCATAGTGATGCCTTCCTCCTAGGTGGCTGTAAAGGAAAAATTCTGTTTTGCCATGTCCAGCATTCATGACAAGACCAGGATGGACTCTACTGATCTCAGGCAGCATCAGGATCATAAAAGTCCACAAAGGGTTCTTCCTGAGCTTGAAGGCAAATACCTTATCTTCCCTACTGTAGTTCACCATTATTTGTCTGATTTTATATAAATATATAGAGAGATGTAAAGATAGATATATGGATATAGATATGTATAGAGAAGGAAAACCTTTCTAAAAATTGCTTGGGAAGGCAGAAGGAGTGATATACACCATCCTACCGGCACTCAAGAGTTGAGGCAGGATTGCGAGTTGGAAGCCAACCTGGGCTACTCAGTGAGACCCTGTCTCAAACAAACAACAAAACCCCACTCAGAAGGGAAGGACACACCTCTTACACACAGGGAAAAGTCCCTAGGAGGGTGGCTGTAAAGTCCTCAGGGCTCTATGCCTGTTTCCTCTCTACCAAATGAACATTTCACACCCTTCCTTGCAGAATTGTTTGGAGCAATCTCATGAAGGAATATAGAGATGCTCTGCCATCTCCTGATGGAATCGCATTTAAATAAACTCACTGTAAAATACATCTAACATATCTAACCTACCAAGCGCCATATTTCAATACACAATTGTGTACCTTCCCAATCATGGAGCTGAGAGAGACTTGCTGCTGCAGCCCTGAAAAACACCAAAAATTCAAATTTTTGAAGTACAATTACACTCACTATGTTATCATTTGGGTACCATAATAACACTTGATCTTAGCCAAAACAGAAACAATTGACACTATTATAGGTTGTTTGTTTATGTTTTTGTTTTTTGTATAGCTGGGAATGGTGGTACATGCCTTTAATCCCAGTATTCAGGAGGCAGACAGATCTTTATATTTTGAGGTCCTCCTAGTCTACACAATGAGTTCCATGACAGCCAGAGATATAAAGAGAGAATTTGTCTCAAAACAAAACAAACATAAAAAAATGAAAGAAAAATTTAAGTCAAATCAAAGTAAATTGGAGACCGTGTACTTTCCCCCGCATCCACAGGGTTTCTCTGTACAACTCTGACCCTTCCTAGAACTTGCTCTGTAGATCAGACTGGCCTCAGACTCAGAGATTCAGAGATTCACCTGCCTCTGCCTTCTGAGTGCTGGTATTAAAGGGGTGCGCCACCACTGCCCGGCACATCCAAAACTTCTCTGAGAAAATAAAAGTTACACAACTATCAGTTCATTGATCACAAGAAGGACAAGCACTTTAGGCGACTGCCACCTCTAGCAACATTTCACAGAGGATCAGGCCTTAGTTTTCTGCACCACCGTGGCTGCTAGCAAGCAAGGTTAATTTTAATTCTGCAGACCTTGACGGTACTGTAGATGTGTGCTGGCTAAAAGTTTTTACATGCTGTAATCAAAGGAAAATGTCTGCTGGGCAGGGGTCTAGGGAGAAAAGTTTACTTGGGAGGACATTGTAGATGTTGTTATGAAGAAGCACTTTGGTTTGTTTTTTTTTTTTTTTTTTTTTTTTTTCTGAGACAGGGTTTCAGGCTTTTGGGGGCCTGTCCTAGAACTCTCTCAGTAGACCAGGCTGGCCTTGAACTCAAAGAGATCTGCCTGCCTCTGCCTCCAGAGTGTTATAATTAAAGGTGTGCATCACCACTGCCAGGCTTGTTTGTTTTCTTGAGGAAGCACTTTGTAAATAACACTTACTTTAAAATCCAAGCAGAAGGACTGGAGAAATGGCTCAGCATTTAAGAGCACTGACTGTTCTTCCAGAGACCCAGGCTCCCAAAATTCACAGCTGCCTATAACTCCAGTTTCAGGGAATCTGGTGGCCTCTTCTGGCCTCTGAAAGGCACTCAGCATGCATGCACAACACAGACATGCATGCAAGCAAAACAACCCATCCGCATAAAATATATAAAATAAAACAGTCCAAGCAGAATGTGGTATAATCACAGCACTCAAGAGGCTGAAGCTGGAGTTTAAGATCAGCCTGGGCGCCATATTGTTTCAAACAAACAAAAAAATCTAGAACTATAAGAAAGAGGCAACAGGCCAGGTGGTGGTGGCGCATGCCTTTAATCCCAGCACTCGGGAGGCAGAGGCAGGCAGATCTCTGTGAGTTCGAGACCAGCCTGGTCTACAAAACCCTGTCTCGAAAAACCACAAAGAAAGAAAGAAAGAAAGAAAGAAAGAAAGAAAGAAAGAAAGAAAGAAAGAAAGAAAGAAAGAAAGAAAGAAAGAAGCGACACCAAGCAATATCATCATTTCATCTGACAATATTTATTTATGCACGAGTACAAACCAAGACCAGCACTTTGTTAAAGGGGGGAGAAGGGAAACTGACACATTGGGGTTTTCATCACCTGAAGATTTCCTCCATCCCCCATCCCCATCCTTGAACCCCCATGGCTTGCCTTGAGCCTTATGTCCTTCTCATGATGTTAACATGCCCAGCAGAGGTCACTCAGACTTTCTCCTAAAGACAGTATGGCTCATGGTTAAGTGCAGGGAATTCGGAGTCGCCCTGCTTGGTTCTGAGCATCAACTCCGCCAAGTACTTGCTGGGCATCATTACTCAAATTATTTAGCCTCCCATGCCAAACAGAAGTAACAATAGGACACACTACCTGAGACTGCTGTGAAAACTAATTATCCCAAATAACGAGAAATCCCTAATACTGCCTGGTACATGGTAAATGACATGTAAACACTGAATATAAAATACATTCTGAGTGAAGAAACGTTTTTGTTTTGTTTTTTAAGATAGGGTCTCTGTAGTCCTGGCAGTCCTGGAACTCAATATATAGACTAGGTCGGCCTTGAACTCTGAGTTCTGCCTGCCTCTTCCCTCACCTTCCAGGGCCATGGGCCACCGCACCCAGTTGAGGGTCGTAACTTCTGTCTACCTCGCAGTCTGAGGATCAAGCCCCATGATAAAAATACACAGCAGAGGACCCCATCTTGGAAAACCAAAAGAAGAAAAACCACACACCAGCCGGGCGATGGTGGTGCATGCCTTTAATCCCAGCACTCGGGAGGCAGAGGCAGGCCGATCTCTGTGAGTTCAAGACCAGCCTGGTCTACAGAGCTAGTTCCAGGACAAGCTCCAAAGCCACAGAGAAACCCTGTCTTGAAACCCCCCCCCCCAAAAAAAAAGAACGAAAAGATAAGAAAAACCACACACCAACAAAACACAAGATAGAAGTCATCCCCGGCAGAGAAACCTACTGTGAGGACATCACAGATTTATTAGAGGTGTTGAAAGGATTGGGTGAAGCCAAGAGGACACGCTGGCAGCCAGGAGGCAGCAATGGAATTTTACTCCAGTGCGCTAACGGGGCGCTTTTCTTTCACAAGGCAACCTTTATGCTGCTGCCCTGGAGAGACCATTGAGTAGTCAGAGCAAAGTGCCTCCCTCTGCCTAGAGATAAGAGGATCTATCTTTTGTACCTTATCAAAGGGAGAACTTGCAACACAACCTCTTGAGTCCCAGGAGGGTGCAGCACCCCAGGCTAGCAGGAAGGCCAGCTGGGTAAGAGTGTGCCAGGAAGATGACTGACATTGGGCGGGACAAGGGCTTCATCTAGGATTCTCAGCTTCCTCACTGGCCTGTGCAAGAGGCCAGATAAAACCTGGGTTGGCTTCAGTCCCACCCTTCAGAACCATCTATCGTGGGCTCTCAAACTAAACCCAAAGAAGTATCTGCTTTGCCTTCACTTTTTCTCTCCCCTTCTCAGTGCTGGGGCTGGACACAGAGCTTTCTACGTTCAAAATGTTCTACCACTGAGTTAGAGCCCTACCTCCTTTGTCACTTTCCTATTTAGGAAGCAGAGCTTCACCACATTGCCCAGGCTGGCCCTGAACTCACAATGTAACCTAAACAGGTGCAATCCTCCTGCCTCAGCCTCTCAAGTAGCCAGGATTGTAGTCCTGTGCCACCAGGAGTCAATGGGCCCCACTTCTTCACTGCTGTTCTGTAAGAAGGCTTATTGCTTTTCCTTACCATGCCTGTTTTCATGGAGCAAAAAAGTTCAATGCTTTGGTGTCTGGTAAATATTCTCTAAGCTTTCAGCAAAGACGATCTTGATTCAGTGTTCAAGCATCCACGTCCTCTACATGCCCTGAGAAGCAAAGCCCCTTAAAGCAATCTGTGTCTGCCAAGACCAATTGGCTGATTAGAATTTCGGTACTGTGGAGAGATAGGAATTTTGCAGGTCCAGAGGCTACTTATCTTCTGGCTCCCAGAACAGCCATTCCTTGCCCTTTCACCCCGCCCCATGGGAACTAACACCTTGTGATAATAGATAAAAGCCTTTTAGAATCTATCGGTTTACAGGCAACTAGCTTCTACCAATCCAAAAGCTAAGAGTGCCATCAGACAGCATCCTGACCCATAGAATATCTTCCCTCATCTCTTTACACCTGTGTCGTCTGTGTTCCCACCAATGTATTTTAAACTTACCTTGATTTAGGACTTTCTCTTTCATGAAACTGCTTCCACATTGGAACATGTAGTATTCAGGGTAACCTAAATCTCTGTTCCCAGGCTATGATCATTCAAAATGACTCCAGAATAAACGCTTATTTCCCTTAAGATGAAAATGGTGCTTTTAGGTACCAAGGGTCAGTCCCTAGAGGACAAAGTCTCTGCTAGGTTTGGCTTGAAGGTAAATCACTCAGCACAATCGTTAGTTAGCTATGTAGGGAGAGACTTTTTGTTTTGTCTTTTTTTTCTAGACAGAATTTTCTGTGTAGCCCTGACTATCCTGTATCTCACTCTGTAGAACAAGAAGTCCACAGATGGTCAGTACAGGAATGATTTATTCTAAAGGTTTTTTGTCATTGTTTTTTGAGACAAAGTTTCTCTGTGTGGCAGTCCTGGCTGTCCTAGAACTCGCTCTGTAGACCAGGCTGGCCTCAAACTCACAGAGACCTGCCTGCCTCTACCTGCTGGGATTAAAGTCTGCTCCATCATGCCTGGCTGTTTTCTAAATATTTTTCATTTATGGTTGAGTTACTATGGAGATTTCAAGAGAACCTGATAATAAATATTGAAGAAGCCAGGTGGTGGTGCCGCACACCTTTAATCCCAGTGCTCAAGAGGCAGAGACAGGTGGATCTCTTAGAGTTCTGAGGCCAGCCTGGTCTACAGAGTGAGTTCCAGAACAGTCAGGGCTACATATAGAGACCCTGTCTCAAATAAACAAACAAAAACCCCAAAAACAAAAAACAAAACAAATATTAAAAAAATTTCAAGGTGACTGCACTGGGTAACAGCCATCATTAAGTTCAAATCCACCATCAAGTCCTGGTTCTGGTAACAAGAAAGGCTGAGAACAGAACTTAGGGCTTTGTGTGTGCAGAGTAAAGGCTCTACCACTAAGCTACACCGCAGCCTGTATGTTATTTTAAAGCACTATTCATGGAACTATTATTACACAGCAATTGCTAAGTAACATATAGTACTTTTTTTGTGTGTGTCCTTAATGGTCTGCTTCCAGTATCACTCTGAAAACAAACGGTACTCAGCACAGCTGTGATATTCATGATTTCGGTTTACTACACTGAAAGGCCACAGAACAACTGGAACAATAGCTAAGGCACACAAGGTAGGGTCCAGGAAGCCTCCCTCTCACAAGTCACTGGACAGTGCTCTGTCCTCCCAACAGTGGTACTCGGGGACTTATCTAGTGGTAGGCTAGCTAGTGGTGTTTACCCAGCTATGCTGTGGGGCTGGGCTTTTAATTAGGGGTGGGTCAGTCCTGTAAGCACGACTCGTTGACCACAGGGTGACTGAACCAACAGTCAGACCCAGATGAGTCCTAAGTGACAGAATCGTCCAAAGTCCCGCTTATTAGTCAAGCTAGTCTAAGGCCTTAGAGGTCACCTTCAGGAGACAGGCCAGGCCAGCTCTTTCTCTTAAATGCCCAAGGTTCAAAGAGCACAAACCCGTTTAATTAATCTTATCCCACACAAAAATGAATAACTTCAAAAGTGGGTGGAGCCATACCATGTAGTCCAAGCTAGCTTTGATTTTGCTGACCAGGTTAGCCTCAAACTTGCTGTGATCCTCTGGCCTCTGCTTCCCATGTGCTAGAGTTACAGACATGTACTTCCATATCCAGTTTCCTAGCTCTAGTTGCCTCTAAACAGAGAGACTGGGAAGCCCGTGTTCTAAGCCCTGGGGAAGCTTCATGAGTTTACCTGCTTTATTTCCAGGTAGTTCCCAGGACTTAACCCATACAGCCAGAAGGCAGGATGCAGAGGGGAGGAGGCAGAGACCTCACACTCATACAGAAGCCTCTCCTGAGCAGAGACTGAGTAGAAGGCCAGCTTCCCCAGCTCAAGGTCCAGCCACACACCCACAACCTCAGGGCGGCCCAAGTGAAGGTCGGTTTTCTTCACCATAGCCCAAGCAGAGAACTGGCCAGGCCCTTTCCACTCTATGCACCAAGAGTCCATAGTCCTTCCCAGCATCTGGTCCCGCTTCATGCCCCACGAAGCCACCCCAACAGCCCAGTGGTTGCAGTTCCTAGTGTCCACTTCCCAGTAGTTCTGGCCAGAAGAGAGGGCCTGGGAACATAAGACTTGGCTAATTAAAAATCTCTCCGGACCCCAAGAATAGGGCTGTGGACAACGCGACACAGTCACTGTCCGGCAACTGTTGGAAACCTCCAGGTTACAGGAGAGGCTCCTCAGGTCAAAGGTTGGACTGATGGCCCCTGGGGAGACATAAACCACAAGAACATAACAGTCAGTTATTTTTCCATTTGTACATATGGGTATTTTGCCGGCATGTATGTCTGTGCAGCACACGCATGCAATGCCCAGAAAGTCAAGAAGAGTGTATTAGATCCTCTGGGACTAGAGTTTCAGACCATTATGAGACACCAAGTTGGTGCTAGGAATCAAACCTGGGTCCTCTGAAGAGCAGCCACTGCTCTTAACCACGGAGCCATCTTCCAGTCAGGGATACTTAATTTTTGACCATCCATGCTGGAAGTCAGTTACTGACTAGCAAGAAGCAACATTGTATCTTTTGGGGTAGTGTTTAGGTTAAATTGATACATAAACTTGGAGAAAGCTCTGCATAACCTTCATGTTGTCTAATCAATCCCCTGTTCCTGCTTTTATTGTTTGTTTGTTTTTTTTTGGGGGGGGGGCTCCAGACAGAGTTTCTCTGTACCTTTGGAGCCTGTCCTGGAACTGACTCTTGTAGACCAGGCTGACCCTGAACTCACAGAGATCTGCCTGCCTCTGCCTCCTGAGTGCTGGGATTAAAGGAGAGCGCCACCACCCCCGGCTGCTTTTATTGTTTTTACCTCCCATCCGGAAGCTATCTCTGAATCCCATGCAGTATAAGGTCATTCTTACTTTTCTCAATTCTTGTGCTTTGTGAGTATGATAGCTATCTGTAATTTATATGTAATATCTCCTTCCTTCCTCCCTTTCTCCTCCCTTCCTTCTTGTCTGTCTAGTGCTGAGAATCAGACCCAGGGTCTTGCACATACTAGACAAATTACTCTACTACTGAATCACACTCCCAGCCCCTATTGGTTAAATGCTAATATTTGAATATCATGTCTTCTTTTTTTAATTATTTATTATGTATACAATGTTCTGTCTGCATGTATGCCTGCCTGCCAGAAGAGGGCATCAGGTCTCATAGATGGTTGTGAGCCACCATGTAGTTGCTGGGAATTGAAACTCAGGACCTCTGGAAGAGCAGCCAGTGCTCTTAACCTCTGAGCCATCTCTCCAGCCCATATCATGTCTTCTCTACTCCAGGTACTTCTTTCTCTCCCTCTTTCCTGAGCTCTCCTGTAGCCATAAGCCAACTCTACCATGTTATGACCACTGCAAAGATAAGAGAACAGAGGCCCTGAGAGGTGACTTGTCCAGGCCTGCACAGCTGTCTAACAGAGGTGCTGCAGACAAACTCAGGACTCCAGGGTGCATGCACTCTTAAAGATCAACTAGTCTGAGACAACACAGTATATATGTTGTAACTGGTGACATCAGCATGGATGTGTTCAGCATCTAAGTGTTCAAGGACCTAGCTGAGCCTGGAATTTGGGACTCTCAAATCCTCTTTGTTTTTATATTAAGCTCTCCATATAGAGGGACCTCGTCTAGAAGAAAAAAATCCAAGAGTATAAAAATCAAAGGTTAGGTCCCACAGCAAGGAGGTGGGCCAGCACATTTTTGAATCCTACTGCTTATAAGTTTTTTTTTTTATTTTGTTTTTTCAGATTGAGTCTCATGTAGCCCAGGCTGGCCTCAAACTATGTAGCTAACGATATGTTTGAAACTGAGCCACCTGCCTCTCTCTCCCAAGTTCTAGGACTACACGGATATATATATCACACCAGGTCTATACAGTGCCGGGGACTGAATCCGGGGGTTTCTGTGCATGCTAGGAAAGTACTCTGTCTACTGAGATATTTGGTTGTTTTGTTTTGTTTTTCAAGACAGGGTTTCTTTGTTTCTTATTTTGTTTTCGGGATGATGACAGGGTTTCTTTGTATAGCCTTGGCTGTCCTAGAACTAGCTCTGTAGACCAGGCTGGCCTCAAACTCATAGATATTTACCTGCCTCTGCCTCCTGAGTGCTGGCAGTAAAGGCGTGCGCCACCACAGCCTGGCTGATCTACTGAGTTATATCCTAGTCCTAGTAAAGTGTGTGATCCTACTGAGTATATCCTAATCAAAGTAAAGTGTGCTGAAGTGGACCTCATACTTACGTAGGGCAAACTGAGAAGCTCTCCTGGGTACAGGACATCTTTGGGCAGGCGGCAGACATAAGGAAGAAGATGGCATTTCTGGGAATTAAAAGAATAATTGGGAGGAGGAAGGCTCATTAGCAAAAGGCAAACTGAAGGTATTCAACTGTCATGATATAGGAACAGGCCTGCATTCTTTCTCATTAGCGTATTCTGGGTGTTCAGGTTATGCCAGACACCACATTCAGACCAAGTATATCTAGCCCCAAGTTATCACTGTGGGACTTTTTTTTTTTTAACTGTTTCGCCCACAAGCCACAAACTCCTTGCTAGCAGAGATCTTATTCATCTCTATATTCTAAGTATTAAGGCCCCTATACACCCCATAGACAGAAAGTGTTTTATACATATTTATCAGGTAAATTAATACAGTTCCAGGGGACTACAGCCCCTCATATCCAGAATACTCGCAAACCCCCGTCAAAGCCCTAAACCATCATTGTATAAACTGGTAACCTGGGCTGATGTAAGGTTCATGTTAACTGCTGACACCTCCAACTCCCTCTCCATGTTCCAAAGTTTAATTATTAACTTAAGCAATTATATATGCTAGACTACAATGACCACGGGAAAGCGGGAGCGGAGAAAGGGAGAGAAACCCTATGGCATGGCAGAGGGGAAATCTCCCACCTGAATCTTTTTTTTTCCATTTCCATGTGTGTGGTGTGTGTACATGTATATGTGCAAACTTTTGAGTGTGGGGGTGCTAGTGCATGTGTGTGTGCATGGGAACATGCGAAGGCCTGATACTGATGCTGAGACTCACCCTCAACCACTCTTTCACTTTATTCACTGAGTTAGGGTCTACAGAGTGAGTTCAAGGACAGCCAGGGCTACACAGAGAAACTCTGTCTCGGAAAAAAAAAAACCCACATGTGACACATGCACAACATGTATGAATCTGAAGAATATTATTCTAAATGAAATAAAATAGTCACAAAAAGACAAATACTTTGAGGTTGAGTGGGTAACTCAGCGATAAATCATATGCCTGGCATTCATGAAGCCCCTGGTTTTGATCATCACCACAAAACACACATATACCTCCCCCCCAAAAAAGAAAGAAAAAGGTAAAGGTAGAATCACAATTGCCAGAGGCTGGAGAATGGGAAAATACAGAGCTGCCTGATGGAAATAAAGATTCGGTTCTGCAAGATGAAAAAGTTTCATCAAGATGGGTACTACAACCATGCAAATACTGTAAATATAATGAACAGTTGGCTGAGAACAGCTATAATAAGATATATATTCTTGTTTGTTTGTTTGTTTGTTTTTGTTTTTTTTTTTAAGTTTTTCGAGACAGGGTTTCTCTGTAGCTTTGGAGCCTGTCCTGGAACTAGCTCTTGTAGACCAGGCTGGCCTCAAACTCACAGAGATCCGCCTGCCTCTGCCTCCCGAGTGCTGGGATTAAAGGCGTGTGCCGCCACTGCCCGGCAAGATATATCTTCTTAAGTATATAAAGCAAGCAGTAGCCAAGCTGGCCTCACAGAGATCTGCCTGTCTCTGCCCCCCCCCCCCAGTACCGGGGATAAAGGCGTGAGCCACCCCTCCCACTCCCCTCCCCTCCCAAAACTATATTTTTGATAGTATGTATCAAGAAGTAGCAAACTTCAAGACAAGACTACAAAGAGAGACTCTATCTCAAAAAAGCAAAAATAAACAAACAAAAAGAATTATATAGTTATATACCTTTTTTCCTTCTTATTATTATTCCCCCCACCCTACCTCCACACTCTTTTTGAGACAGGATCTTTCTATGTGCCCCAGATCGGCCTTGAACTCCTGATGTGCCCATCTCTACCTCCCAAGTGCTGGGATTAGAGGTATGTACTGCTACGCTTAGTTTCATGTCTTGTTAGTAAAACATTTACTAATTAAAAAATAAAAAGAGGGCTGATAAGATGATTATCACCAAGCCTGATGATCTCATTTCAATTCCCACAGAATGGAAGGAGAGAATTATCTTTCCAAAATTATCCTTTTACCTACACACATATTGTGGCAAGTGCCGGGAGGTGGTGGCGCACGCCTTTAATCCCAGCACTCAGGAGGCAGAGGCAGGTGGATCTCTGTGAGTTCGAGGCCAGCTTGGTCTACAAAAGCTAGTGCCAGGACAGGAACCAAAAAGCTACGGAGAAACCCTGTCGAAAAATCAAAAAAAAAAAAAATTGTGGCAAGTGCATACACAGATCATAGACATGACATGTACACATACACTATATATATACACACATATATATACATAAACACATACATATATATGTTTGTTTGTTTTTTAAAAAGACATAAGGCTGGGTAGTGGTAGAGCACACCTTTAATGCCAGCACTTAGGAAGCAGAGACGAGGCAGGTGGATCTCTGAGTTTGAGGTCAGCCTGGTCTACAGACTGGGTTCCAGGACAGCCAGGACTACACAGAAAAGCCTTGTTGAAAAAAAGTTTAAAAGGACACAAAATAAAAAGCAGCTAGGGGAGGTAGAAGACATGTGTGGTCCAGCTACTCTAGAGGCAGAAAAGTCGCCTAAGCCTAGTGTTTGAGGCCAGCCTGGGCAACATAAAAATAACAGGGGCTGGCGAGGGGCTGGAGAGATGGCTCAGCAGTTGAGAGCACTGTTGCTCTGGTTGAAGACCTTGGTTTGGTCCCCAGCACCCACATGCTCACAACCATCCCTAACTCCAGCCCCGGGGACCCTGACACTCTTACCCTCTCCTGACCTTTGAGGACCCGAGACATATACCGGGTGCACAGACATACATGCACGCAAACACCCACACAAAGGAACTAGAACTGAAATAGTGATAGCAGGGACCAGAGATGGCTCAACGGGCAAAGGCACGTGTTGCCAAGCCCAACAGCCTGAGCTGATTCCCAGATCACACGAGGGGTAAGGAGAGAACCATTTCTGCAAGTTGTCGCCTGACTTCCCGCCACATGGGAGCTGTGGCAGGCACATGCCCACCACCTCCACCACATATGTAACTAGAAATGAGAACAAAAAGTCCAAATCAGCCTATCTCTAAACTCCTCCGGCAAACTGCAAAGATGAGCCACATGCTGGGATCCAGGGTCATGAGTCTTAAAAATGGGAGTTTTGCTTTACTCAGGGCCTATGCTACAGAAAAATCCCTTATGTCCATATCCCAAACTGTCCACAGCCAGGACCATACCTCAGCCTACTCCTAATCAACTTACACCACCACAGAAAAAAGCAGACATGTTCTAGGTCTTGTCCCCAAAGGACAAAGCCAGGAGCACTTGGTCATTCTTTCCTGATGTGAGATGTCCTTCTGTATATGTGTTGTTTTTACTGGATGATGAATAAAGCTGTTTCGGCCAATGGCTTAGCAGAGTAATGTCGGGCGGGAAATCCAAACATAGATATATAGAGAGAGTAGGCGGAGTCAAGGAGACACCGTGTAGCCACCAATAACAGTAAGCCACAGGCAATAGATTAATACAAATGGGTCAATTTAAGGTGTAAGAGCTACCTAGGAATATGTCTGAACCATTGGTCAAGCAGTGTTGTAATTAATATAGTTCTGTGATTATTCAGATCTGGGCAGCCGAGAAACGAAAGCACAGTCTCCGTTTACAGCACCCAACTCTCTTAGTCAGTCTGGCTCCCTCAGCTCACCCAGAACTTGTTCTCCAGGAGCTTCTTTCCATGTGACTCCGCCTTGCAGTTTTTCTTGAATCTCTTGTAAGTTATGAAGAATCTCTCGAATTTTCCTCTCGGATGCACTGGACGCTACTGCCTTTGGAGAACTCAAGGAATGTTCCTGCTCAGAGGAAGAAGCCTATTGATCAACGAGGAAACAAGTAAAGAAAAGTCAACTATGGAACTCATCAAATACACTCAAGAGCCACCTTCCAGTCACAGTTTTGTTTTGTTTCATTTAAGTCTAAACAGGCTTTTAAAAACAAAATTAGGGGTTGGAGAGATGGCTCAATGATGAAGAACAATGGCTGATCTTAATCATCCTAGGTTTAGCTCCCAGGGCCCACATGGCTGCCTCCATAGGCACCAGGCATGACTATGGGCACAGACATACATGCAGATAAAACACCATACACATAAAAACAAACAAACAATATTCCCTAGCAGAATGCAATGAGTCATGTTTATAACTCAAGCACTTAAGATTCCTGCATAAACATAAATATTTTTTTAAAAAAGTCCTGAAGGGGGCTAGAGAGATGGTTCAGTGGTTAAGAGCACCACCTGCTCTTCCAAAGGTCCTGAGTTCAATTCCCAGCAACCACATGGTGGCTCACAACCATCTGTAATGAGATCTGGTGCCCTCTTCTGGCCTGCAGGCAGAGTACTGAGAATATTGTATACATAATAAATAAATAAATCTTTAAAAAATATAAATAAATAAAAATAAAAAGATAAAAAGTCCTGAAGCAAGAAGACTAATATGAGTTCAAGGTTAACCTAGGCTACAAAGATTCTGTCTCAAAACAAAAATCATGATACTGGAGCATTTTTTTCACAATGTTTTTTCAAGACAGGGTTTCTCTGTGCAGCCCTGGCCGTCCTGGAACTCGCTCTGTAGACCAGGCTGGCCTCAAACTCACAGAGATCCACCTGCTTCTACCTCCTAAGTGCTGGGATTAAAATCATGCACCATCACCACCACCCAGGACATTTATTTCTTTTTATTTTATGTTTATGAATGCTTTGCCTATCTATTTGTATATATGTATCACATGATGTGGGATTCCCCTCCATATGCTATGAATATGTTTTATTACCATTGGTTAATAAAGAAGCTGCTTTGGCCTATGGCAGGGAAGAATACAGGTAGGCGGGAAACTAAACTGAATATAGGGAGAAAGAAGGCGGAGTCAGGCAGACACCATGAAGCTGACCAAGAAGCAAGAGGTAACAAGCCACAACAAGATCCCATCACTAGGGCTGGAGGGGTGGCTCAGTGGTTGGGAGCATTGCCTGCTCTTCCAAAGGTCATGAGTTCGATTCCCGGCAACCACATGGTGGCTCACAGCCATCTGTAATGAGGTCTGCTGCCCTCTTCTGGTCTGCAGACATACACACAGACAGAGTGTTGTGTACATAATAAATAAATATTAAAAAAAAAAAGATCCCATCACTAAAGGAGAAAGGGGGCGGTGCTTGCTGCACAAGCCTGCTGATGCCTTGACTTAAATCCCTGGGACCTACAGTGAAAGATGAAAACAGACTCCTGAAAGCTGTGCTCTAACCTCTCTTACACACACACATGCTCTCGCTTGCACACCCTCCCCTACACACACATGCTCTCGCTTGCACACACACACCCTCCCCTACACACACTCTCTCCCATACACACACAAACTCTTTCTTCCATACAATTATTCTATTTTTTTAAGAAGTCACTGAATGGGGCCTGGCGGTGGTCGGCCTTTAATCCCAGCACTTGGGAGGCAGAGGCAGGTGGACCTCTGTGAGTTCAAGGCCAGCCTAGTCTACAGAGCCCAGTTCCTGGACAGCCAGGGCTCTAACTTAGAGAAAGCCTGCCTCAAAACAACAACAAACAAGGTCACTGAATGGGGCTGGAGAGTGGCAGTTAAGGACACGGACACGTGTTGCTCTTGCTAGGACCTGAGTTCAGTTCCCGGCACCCACGTGATGACTCTACTCATCTCTAACTTTGATTCCAGGGGATCCAACATCCTCTGTGACTTCTACAGGCATCAGGCATACCCATGGTGTGTGTGTGTGTGTGTGTGTGTGTGTGTGTGTGTGTGTGTGTGTGTGTGTGTATGTGTGTGTGTTAATGCAGGCAAAACACCCATACACATAAAATAAGATAAATACATTTTTTTTTTTTTTTTGGTTTTTCGAGACAAGGTTTCTCTGTGGTTTTGGAGCCTGTCCTGGAACTAGCTCTTGTAGACCAGGCTGGTCTCAAACTCACAGAGATCCGCCTGCCTCCGCCCTCCCGAGTGCTGGGATTAAAGGCGTGCGCCACCACTGCCCAGCTGATAAATACATCTTTAAAAAAATTTAAAAGTCACTGAAGAGAAGGACTTTCAAATCTGTGGGATTTGCCAAGAAATCGTTGGTGATTTTAGAGAGGGTTGATTGAACGGAGTGGGAAGGACAGACCCCAGCCCACTTGAAGCTTTCACTAACTCATGTCTATCATGTCAGATTTCTAACCACCCATATTTGGCATAAAGAAAATGGTAAAACGTTGCCAGGTGATGGTGGTGCACGCCTTTAATCCCAGCACTCAGGAGGCAGAAGAATCTTTGTGAGTTTGAGGCCAGCCTGGTCTACAAGAGCTAGTTCCAGGACAGGCTCCAAAGTTACTGAGAAACTCTGTCTCAAAAACAAAAAGAGAGAGAGAGAGAGAGAGAGAGAGAGAGAGAGAGAGAGAGAGAAATATTAAAGCGTGAGACCTGTTGCCCTGTTGCATTCCTTGATTCCATGTCTCAGACTGCTCTAGCTGGAAGCGGTCCTTTACCCTGGCCCTTCCTTTCCCACCTGAACCTACCATGCCCAGGAAGCCTCGTTCATTGTCCGGTCCAGATCCTGACAGAGGACTCTGCGTTGGAAGGCTCCTGACAACATCCACGAGCTGTCGCACCAGTTCTGTCAGCTTCTGGATGACTTCTTCCGTGGTGCTTTTCTGCACTGTCACCTTTAGAAGAGCAAAACGGGGCTTCTGATTCCCAAAAACTGGACCCAGGACCACCACTCAATAAAGGGAGCTATACATGCCACGGCAGCAGCATGAAAGAGAACATTCAGAGTGATGGCAAACACTAGAGAGTCAAATCTTCAGGTGTACCGTAAGATAAATTTTTACAAGAATGCCAAGACTGCTTAAAAGGCGCAGTCTTTTCAGCAAATACTACTAGAAATGTGTATCTGTATACCAATGAATGAGGCTAGGTTCTTTGGTTTGATTTTGAGACAGGGTCTCTCTACACAGTCCTGGCTGTCTTGGAGCTTTGTATGTAGACCAGGCTGGCCTGAAACTCATAGAGATCTGGCTGTCTCTGCCTCCTGAGTACTGGGATTAAAGGAATGTGCCACCATGCCCTGCTTGAAGTTAGATGCTACCTAACACTATATAGAAAATTAAATGAGGAGGCTGGGGGAAAGTGTATGCCCGGTACATCTGAGACCCTCAGATCAGTCCCCAACTGAGTAAAATTGTAAGAGTAAAATTGAAAATAGGAACTCAGTTGTAAGATAATGTACATTGTAGCCGTAGTCATAATAGTCGAATGTAGAAGTAATTCAAATGTTCATTGCTAGATAAATTGATTAGAAAGTGATATAGCCACACAAATGATAAGACAGTCACCTAAAGCAAGAATGTGCTGATACATGCTACAACATGAATCAGCCCAGAAAATATTATTGGGATGAAAGAAGTCAGACACAAGGGGACATGGAATAGCCCCATTTATATGAAACATGTAGAATAGGTAAATTCAGAGACATAAAATAGATTGTTGTGGAATACTATTTCAACTAGGTAAACATGTGTTACATTTGTTTATGCTGCATTTGTTTAACAATGTAAGGATGTGTTTAATTATGTAAACATGTTGCATTTGTTTCATCTTGCCTGCCTAAGGAACCTGGTTGGTCTAATAAGGAGCTGAATGGGCAAGATCTAGGCAAGAAAGGAAAGAAAGGCAGGGCTGGCAGGCAGAGAGAGCAAGTGAGCTACCCACCAACTGACCAACCGACCCAAGGCAAGAACCAAGAAGCCAAGCAGCCAACTAAACAAGAGAAGCAGTGGAAAGAAAGATAAAAAGAAGAAAAGTAAAAAACCCTGAAGCGAAAGGTAGAAAAAGAAAAGCAGGCCAGGAAGTGGTGGTCCACGTCTTTAATCCCAACACCTGGGAGGCAGAGGTAGGCAGATCTCTGTGAGTACGAGGCCAGCCTGGTTTACAAGCGAAGTCTAGGATAGCAACATCCAGGACTCTTACACTGAGAAACCCTATCTCAAAAAACCAAAAATAAAAAAACTAAAAAGGCTCCATGTCATGATTTGAGAGCTGATTGGTCACTCAAAAGAAAAAGCCTGGTACAATGAGACCTGTGCGGAGGCTGGAGGAATCAGGTGTTATTGCTTAGTAGGTACAGAGGTTCTATCTGTGGTGATGAAATCGCTTTGGAAACAGCGGTGACAGCAGCACAGTATTGGAGAGGTGACAAATGCCATCGAATTGTACACTAAAAAAGTTGTGCAAATCGTTGGACGGTCATGGTGGCATATGCCTTTAATGCCAGCTCTTGAAAAGCAGAGGCAAGCAGAGCTCTGAGTTCAAGTGCTCCACACCTGTAATCGCAGGCTTGGAAAGGCAAGGCAGGCACAGGTCATCACCCACTTCAGGTTCAAGGCCAGCGTGGTCTACACTAGTTAGGGCCTGTCTCAATAAATAAGTAGAATTAAATAGTGCTAAAGTGGCAAATTTTATGGTGAGTATATATAATATATATACACATATATAATAAAAATTTAAATATATTCTACCACACTAAAAATTTTCAGACACCACAGAAAAGCTGGCGAAAAAAAATGGTAATATGGAAGGGTGCACGAGACCTCGGTGGGATGGGATTTAGAATAACTATTACTTGTGAGATTTTTTTTTTATTTTTTATTTTTTGGTTTTTTTGAGACAGGGTTTCTCTGGTTTTGGAGCCTGTCCTGGAACTAGCTCTGTAGACCAGGCTGGTCTCGAACTCACAGAGATCCGCCTGCCTCTGCCTCCCGAGTGCTGGGATTAAAGGCGTGCACCATCACCGCCCGGTTAGCAATGAGATTTTTAACTATTGCTTTTGACCAGACCTTACTATGGAGATCTGGAGGTGTGGGGCATGTCCCTCTTTTCTGCCTCTCAAATCCTGGGATTACAGGCGTGCATTCTCCACGCCGGACTTTTCAAGCTTCTTTATACAACTCTGAACTTTTCAAAGATTACACTGATTAAATCACGTAGCGGAAGAAGAGATCGGGAAGGCAGGAGAGGCCCAAGAGGGCGCACGCGGGCTGTCAGAGCGGTGCGGGCTTCCTACCGGAGGCGGCGCGGGGCGACGCGGCGGAACGGGCGCGGGCGCGGTTTCGGGGCCAGGCTCGAGCTCGAGCGCCGCGTGGCGGTACTTGTCCGCCAGGTCCTGCAGCAGCGGGTTCTTGCGCAGCGTGGGCTTCGCCTCCGGGGCCTCCCGGCAGGTAGGGCAGGCCCAGGGGCGGCCACCCACGCCGGCGCGCTGCTTGACCCACAAGTCATCGAGGCACTGGTAGCAGAAGCTGTGGCCGCAGGGCAGCGTGGTGGGCCAGTCCAGCAACTCTCGGCAGATAATGCAGCTCAGGTCCTCCTCGCTCAGCCACACAGGGACTGCACCGCCTAGGGCAAGGGCCGCCATACTGGGCGGTGGCCAGGAAGCCCAGTAAGGCTCCGCTGCGCCCCACCCACTTCCCCAGCTTCGCCCCGCCCACAGGTGTCGTATTTCATTTTCTGAGCTCTGTGCCAACAAAACAAAACCAGGCCAGCAGGGTCTACAGAGCTAGTTCCAGGACAGTCAGGACTACACAAAGAAACTCTGCTTCGACAAACCAACAAATAAATAAACAAGTGAATGAATGGATAAGTAAATAAATGAATAAATGAATGAATAGAAAAACCAGACAACCAAGGAAGTAAGCAAGCAAATGAACAAACAAAACTCACTATTTTTATTTTTGAGAAATTATGCCAAAAATCCCTTTTCTAAGGCTTGTCGAGTGACTCTCAATTCAACCAGTTAAGCTTTTACTTAGAGATACTTTTGTCTAACTTGACATATTCAGAAAGAAAAATTAGAGCATTGTTCATTTCAATACACCTTTGGCAGTCTAATATTTTTGGGAGGATTTCATCTTACATGTTTGAAATATGTTCGAATGTTTGGAGGTGTCCATTGAGCTCATTAAAGTGATGAAGAATACTTACCACTTTAAGTAAAAGCAGCCTGTCTGATCTGTTGTTCAGTTAAAAAGGGGGTTGGTGGGCTGGAGATGGGAAGCAACTGGTAGAACGCTCACCCCCGTTTGTGCATGAAGCCTTGGGTTTGATCTCCGGCATGGTCCCACAGGCCTGTAATCTCAGCACTCAGGTAAGGGAAGAGGAGCAGAAGTTTAAGGTCATCCTTAGCTACGCAGTCAGTTGGAGGTCAGCCTGGAATGCATAAGAACTTCTCTCAAAGAATAAAGTGCTGGCAAACAGCTGTAATCGGGAGGCAGAGGCAGGATCTCTGTGAGTTCGAGCCCAGCCTAATCTACTGAGTTCCAGGACAGGCTCCAAAGCTACAGAGAAACTCTGTCTTGAAAAAGCAAAGCAAAGCAAACAAACAAACAAACAAAAAGCAACACAAAAAAAGAATAAAGTGGGGCTGGAGAGATGGCTCAGAGATTAAGAGCATTGCTTGCTCTTCCCAAGGTCCTGTGTTCAATTCCCAGCAACCACATGGTGGCTCACAACCATCTGCAATGAGATCTGGTGCCCTCTTCGGGCCTGCAGGCATACACACAGACAGAATATTGTATACATAATAAATAATTTTTTAAAAAAAGAATAAAATGGGTTTGGTGAGATGGCTCCGAGTGAAGTGCTCACTGTGAATCCTGACACAGGAATTTGGTCCTGGAACCCACAGAAAGGGGCAAAGAGGAAGCAACCCCACAGGACTGTCTTCTTACAACATGTGTGCTGTGACACACACTCTCTCACACATACATACAGGCACATAATAATAACATCTAATAAACACAAAGGGGAAAAACAGCATTTTTTTGCTTTGGAGACCTCTTCTACTCTTGGAAGTTCTTTCCTCATTTTTCCTTTAAAAAAAATCTACATTTTGGGGGCTGGAGAGATGCCTCAGTGGTTAAGAGCACTGCCTGCTCTTCAAAGGTCCTGAGTTCAATTCCCAGCAACCACGTGGTGGCTTACAACCATCTGTAATGAGATCTGGTGCCCTCTTCTGGCCTGTAGACAGAATACTGAGAATACTGTATACATAATAAATAAATCTTTAAAAAAAATCTACATTTTCTCTGCTTAAAAATAAATGAGTAAAATAACAAAATAAAGATAAAGAGATAACCTCAGAGACCAAGACAGAGGGATTCAGACAGAGGTCAGGAGCCGGGCCAGACCATGTCTGTATCTCACTGGGCTTTCTTGTTTGTCCTCGCCTGTCGCTCTGAGGAACACACCCACACTGAAGCCCCCCTCCCTTGTAATTAATCAGCTCTATTACTGCTTATTTCCTGCCCTTTGCGGTGGTGAGTTCCTTGAGCACCGGAGCTGTGCCTCTACTCATTTCCCCCATCCGAGAACTTAGCCACGTAGACCCCCCAAGGAGCGCACAGTGGTGGAGAAGGCAGCCGAGTGGCTCTTAATGCGCGCTCTATAATAGGTCTCAGCCCTCCTAAGGATGCGATCCTCTAGTCCATTTCTCGTGTTGTAGTGATCCCCAACCATAAAATAATTTTCGTTGCTATTTCATAACTGCAATTTTGGTACTATTTATAAATCGCAATGAAAATATTTTTGGAGATAAAGGTTTGCCAGCGGGGTTGCGACCCAGAGTCTGAGAATCACTTCTCCATCAGGCACTGCAGCCGATAAAGTCAAAGAATTAATTTTAGTAGCTAAACAGGACCCACCTCCCCGGCGAGCTTCGTTCTGGAAAGAGACATCCAGAATTTGTATTGCTGCTTCTTTGGGGAATTCAGGAATGTCCAATAGATTCAGAGACTCACGAGACCTGAAGGTACACGTCTGTAATCCCAGCACTCGGGAGATAGACACGCAGATCTCTGTAAGTTTGACGACAGCCTGCCTTTGAGCATTCTTGCCCTCAACTTGAGTTATTTTCCTTACCCCTTCCCTTTGATTAGCCTCTACACAGTTTGGACATTTTCAGCTTTAACGTCGCTTTCTCGAGAGGAAGGAGGAAGTAGGCTTCCCTCGGCCCCCTACGCTCCTGCTGGCTGGTTGCCACACACCCATCGCCGCTTGCTGCCCCCTGCAGGCTGCCATGTGCAACAGCAGGGACCACCTGCTCTCACCTGCTTAGTAAGTGGGGCTCAGCCCAGCACTTGGCAAGTGATGAAATGCAGGTAACTTACATTGAATTTCGACCATCAGTGTAGATTCCTCTCATTCTTTCTTAAAAATAAGGTCAAAACTAATTTTTAAACATGTGTGCGCCCATGAAGGCCAGAGGGGATGATTTCTCCTGGAGCTGAAGTCACAGGTACTTGCGAGCTGGCTGATGTGGTTGCCAGGAATTCAAATCCTCTGGGAGAACAGAAAGTGCTCTTAACTGCTGAGCCATCCAACTTCCCCGACTTCCTCATTTTAAATATAGAAAGTAAGGCAAATAGTGAAGGGACTTTTCTTGTGTTCTCAAGCTAAAGGCAGAACTGGACCCAGATAACTCCCCAGCCTGCTTTCTTTCCCCACAGCGCTGTGATAATGAAGATGGCATCATTTTCTCATTATCTGTGTTTCTATCTCTTCTCAAATGTGCACAAAATTGGAATTCTCTGGGGAACTTCTTAAAATCTATATTTTAGCCGGTAGTCCTTTAATCCCAGCACTCAAGCAGAGGCAAGCGGATCGCTGAATTCGAGGCCAGCCTGGTCTAAAGAGGGAGCTCCAGGACAGCCAGGGCAACACAGAGAAACTCTGTTTTTTATTTATTTATTTATTTATTTTTAATTTTTCGAGACAGGGTTTCTCTGTAGCTTTGGTGACCATCCCGGAACTAGCTCTTGTAGACCAGGCTGGAGGCAGAGACAGGCGGATCTTTGGGAGAAACTCTGTTTTGAAAAACCAAAAATAAAAAAATCTTTTAAAGAGATTTATTTTTGTTGTATGTGTATATTTGATCTGCATGTATGTAAGCGCACCTTGTACATACAGTGCCTGTGGCGGCCAGCAGAGGGCGATGGATCCTAAGGAACTGGAGTTACGGTTGTGAGCCTCTATGTGGGCGCTAGGAACTACAGTCCTCTGTGCTCTTAAACACTGAGCCGTCTCTCCAACCCTCTTGGGGAAAACTAATTATTATTTTGCTTATTTAAGTGCTAATGATGGAAGTATTCGAAGCATAGCGGAAGTGGGGGGGGCTAAAACTAAAAGGAGAAATTCCCACACTTTAACGACCAGATCCTGACTGCTTGGAGCCTGTCCCCAATGACTTGCAATTCCTTATACAAACATTTAGAGCTTAACTCTACTGACCCGTGAATAGCCAGTCTCAAGAAGCTCCACAGCGCTGTAAATGAACTAGTTATCAAGATGGAGAGAGATGTCATTTATCCGCCCAGATATCCACACACAACCAGCACAGGAGAGGCAATCAAGGAATGCCCTTTCTTGGGCATCAGAGGACTCCTCTCTGAGAGTTCTCCAAGTCTTTGTCTCTCTGGCAGCATTTTATTTAATCTTTTTTTTAAAAAAAATTATTTATTTATTATGTATACAACATTCTGCCTCCAGGTATGCCCGCACGCTAAAAATGGGCACCAGATCTCATTACAGATGGTTGTGAGCCACCATGTGGTTGCTGGGAGTTGAACTCAGGACCTCTGGAAGAGCAGCCAGTGCTCTTAACCACTGAGCCATCCCTTCAGCCCCTATTTAATCTTTTTCTATGTGTTCTAGTTTGGTAAATACTTTTACCCAGGGCCTCCCTTTGGTCACCACTGTTCCTGGCACAACACAAACACACATTCTACCACTGAGCTGTCCCTCCAGCCCCTTCTAGGAAATCGGAGACACTCTCTCACCAGGTTGCCTAGGGCGCTCCCAGACTCTCTGGCTCCAGCGGTCCTGCCGAAACCCCTGCCTACATGAGTCTGAAGATGTACCCGCCATGCCCAGCTCCATGGATATTGGATTCCGGAAGGAAAACCTTCGCTTTTCAAGAGTGACGACTGGGCAATTTATCAACTTTTTAATATGAAAACTCAAATCTATATAAAATGATCACAAGTAAGAAAATAAATGCTCATCTACATTCCGCCTGGATTCACCAGTGCTGTGCTCTGTGCATACAGACATAGATATGTACACATGTGCATGCTATGTGTGTGCATGTCGACATATACTGATCCTTCTTTAGCTGAACCACTTAAAAGTTGGCTGCAGACATCATTTCCATTTTACTTCAGCGCGCATCCCCTAAGAACAGGAACACTTTATACACACACGTGAGTATCACAATTTTACAATACTGTTAGCTGGTCGACATCCAGATCCCAATTGCTCCGACATCAATTATGTCCTTTACAGTAGCTTTTTTTTTTTAAAAAAATCACTTTGTTTTATTTTATGTGTATTGGTGTAAGGGCGTCAGATCCCCTGGAACTGGAATTACATACAGTTGTGAGTTACCAAGAAGGTGTTGGGAATTGAGCCTGGGTCCTCTGGAAGAGCAGTCAGTGCTCTTAATTGCTGAGCCATCTCTCCAACTCCAATGCCTCTCTTTTTTAAATTATTGTTATGATTTTTATGTACACTGCTGCTTTGCCTGAATGTATGTCTGTGCGAGGGTGTCAGATCTTAGAGTTACAAACAGGTGTGAGCTGCCATGTGGGTGCTGGGACTTGAACCTAGGTTCTCTGGAAGAGCACTCAGTGCTCTTAATCACTGAGGCATCTCTCCAGCCTGGGCTTCTCTTATTTTCCCAACTGTATTTGATTGCCATGTTTTGGTATTGGCTTTTGGGAGGTTTTGTTTGTTTATTTTTTTAAATATTTATTTATTTACTCTCTCTGTGTGTATGCCTGCAGGCCAGAAGAGGGTGCCAGATCCCATTACAGATGGTTGTGAGCTACCATGTGGTTGCTGGGAACTGAACTCAGGACCTCTGGAAGAGCAGCCAGTACTCTTAACTGCTGAGCCACCGCTCCAGCCCTAATTTGTGGTTTGTGTTTGTTCTCCTTTGAATCAGGGTCTCATTAGCTTTGAGCTCTCTATGGACAATAGCAGAACCTCTGATCCTCAGGCCTCCACTTCCCTAATGCAAAAACTATAGGTACCATTAGCCCCATCTTTAGTCTGTCTGTCTTTCTTCCCCTCCCCTCTGTTTTGTAAAACAAGTTCTCTCTATATAACTCTGGCTGTCCTGGAACTTGATATATAGACCAGGCTGCTCTTGAGCTCACAGAGCTTTACCTCTCTGTGCCTGCTGAGTGCATGGGCCTAAAGGCATGTGTCGCCATGTATGGCCAATTTTATCTTTTAATATTGAGATTTGAAAAGTCCAGGCTAGTTGTATATCAACATGTAAGTAATATTGAAATATCTTATTATTTCTTCATAGTTAGGTTCATATTAAACATTTACATTTTTCTACTTGCACAATCTTGATGCTGAGGGTGTTTTTTATATTGCAATGTCTCTACTCCCTCTCTGTAGATTTTGTTGTTGTTCGCTTGTTTTTGTCTTTGTTTTTCGAAACAAGGTCTTGCTATGCAGCTCAGGCTGCACTTGAACTCCCTGTATGGTCCAGGCTGGCACCAAACTCATGGCACTCCTGCCTCTCCACAGGCATGCATCACTGCACCCTGCTCTCGGTGCAAATATGAGAAAGCCTTCAGGTCTTCTAAGCTTGGAGAGCTACATTCTTCTCAGTACCAGCTCCCCAAGACTGGGAAATGTTTGCTGGAAAGATCCTGGGAGCCACAAGATAAACCACACCCTCGATCTTGACAGAGTTCACTGACAGGAGCAGCGGATGCTGGTCTCGGGGCTTCCTTCTGGACAACCAGGGCAGAGGTGAACACTTCTCGGGGATTTCAGGTGCTCGGTGGCCAGCCGACTCTTCCGAGATGGGTCACCTGAGGCCACAGCCACTCTCTGCTGATGCAGCTGCAAGGGAAGCAGGAAGGGTAAGGAGGCAGTGCTAGTGAGGTCCTGCTGCAGGGAAGGTGTAGCCAAGGGGACAAGAGTGCCATGACAGAGGGACCAGAGCAGCACTGAGAGCAAAGAGAAACTTTAAATGAGCATAGAATAAACAGGAAAACAAGACTGAAGGAGATAGACAGGAGGCAGACACATAGGGAAAAGGGAAGAGGAAAGCAGGGCAGAGACACAGAGCGTCGGGCCCAGAGAGGACAGAGTGCAAGGTTGAAGTGTGTCCTCAATTACCTCCTGTGTCCTTGGCTTCGGACAGTGAGTGAAGACAGTTGTGGGTTGGGTTTTTGTTTGTTTTGGTTTTGGTTTTTTTTGAGACAGAGTTTCACTGTGTAGCCCTGGCTGTCCTGGAACCCAGTGTGTAGCCCAGGCTGGCTTTGAACTCACAGAATTCTACCTGCCTCTACCTCCCAAGTGCTGGGATTAAAGGCAGCACTAGCTACCCACCACACAAGGATGTGACAGCTTAATTTTTGTCTGAGTGCCCTGCATGAATACCTGCATGCCTGAAGGGGGCACTAGATCCCATTATAGAAGGTTGTGAGTCACCATGTAGTTGCTGGGAATTGAACTGGAAGACCAGGCCATGTTCTTAACTGCTGAGCCATCTCTCCAGTCCCACAGTTGTGTTTATACTGGTGAGTCTAGGAAGGCACAAGGGCTTCCCCCTGGGACTGTTGGGGTCACCTGTTCAGTCTGTACTTTTCCAAACAGAGAACTTTTTCCTTTCCGCCCCAGAAGCTCGGCTTTGGGCCAGATGTTTCCTCCTCCTGAACTCAGCACATCTCTGCTTCTCGTGGGGTTGTCAACAAAGGGGAACAGTCTCCTTGTGACACAGGCGGTGTGAAAAGAAGGAGCAGGGGAGGGAGACAGCAAAATAAAGGCTTGAGGACAGGGAGAACACTAAAAATAGCCTTCCTACTGAGTGGGGAGGAATCCAGAATCCTGGGGGGGCGGCTGGCAGGGCGACCTCTGCTAGGGATACCAGGCCAGCACTTATGAGAGAAAGGACAAGAGTGCGGGGAATCTGAGAGCTTGGTATCGCCAGCCTCCACAGTTCTGCTAGGGCCAGACTCCGCCTGAAGCTCATGAGGACAGCTGCATAGAGGAACTTGGTGCAGAGGGGACTTTCTGGCAAGAATGTGCAATGCGTGTGCTTTTCTCTGGCAGGAAGTAAGGGCAACTCCAAACGCTGAGTCAGGCCCTTCTGGGACCACAGTGACAGAGCCCTTTTCTGCCCTCAACCAAAAGAACCCCCAAGCCCACCCCCACCCCTGCTTCTCACTGAGGAGGTGGAGGGGCGACCGGGGGCTGGACAGGACATCCTGCAGACTCTCCAGCCATTCTCGCTGTTCCTTCTCACTGGGGCAGGTGAAGATGAACTTCCGCTCTGGAGTGAGGACAGTGAGTCCGACCTTCCAGCGATTCCCTCGGATGCCCCTGGGCAGGTCTTCGCATACTTCATACCCCTGCTCTTGGCTTCCCAGGACAACCTGGCCCTGCTCGAAAGCATCCTGAAAATGGAAGGCACGTGGTTAACCAGCCCTGCCAGGCCCAAGGTCAAGCTGGGTAAAGAGGCGTGTGCACGCCATTGCCAGGTGTGACTTCAAATTAAAACCTCACGGACATTGCATACTAGTCTGCTGAAAACACCAACACGCAGAGACTAGACCAGGCACTGGGGACTCAAAGGCTGGGTTCTCGCTTTGCTTTAGGCATTGGGGATTGAGCATAGAGTCTCAAAACAATAGGCAAGTCCTCTACTGCTGAGCTTAATCCCCGCCCTCTATCTCTTTTTAATTTTTAATTTTGAGTCTCTCTAAGTTACACAGGTTGGCCTTGAATTTATTCTGAAGCCCAGGAAGTCTTTGAATTTGCAATCCAACTGTCTCAGCCTCCCCTGTGGCTGGGATTACAGGCTGGTGCCCCAGCCCCAGCTCAAGTGGTTTACATGTTAGCAACTTGTATACTCACCACGGCCCCTTCTGAGCAAGGCATTCATGGTGGTAAGCCAATATTTTGGTCAGAAGGGAAAGGCAGCATGGCAAGCTAAGTGCATACCCTGCCCAGGGCATGGCTCTACACTAGCAGGGCTGAGACTAGAGCCCAGACTCCAGGCAAACCGGTTCCTGAGCCCACAAGCCTAACCGCTCTACTCCAAACCTCCTGGTTACAAGGGAGTGGTTGGTTCCACCTTACCTTAAGAACAGCTGCCAGCACTGGGGATCCTGAACAGAGCTGAGTGGGAAATCTGGGGTACAGGCTTTCCTGTTACAGGTTCCCCTGTCCTGGGATTCTGAGAGCCGGCCTTTCTGTATATTCTGAGATCAGCATAAGCCCCTCTGACTGGGACCATGCTAAGGAGGGAATCGGGGATGGCTCTTACCAGAGGGTTCTTATAATACAGCAGCCTCCTCTCCAAGGGATCCAGAGCAAACCATCTTTTCTTGAAGGGTTCTCTGTGCTGCAAAAGGAGGAACCTCTTTACCAGACTTGGCTAAGCCAGGCACAGAGGTCAGGGCCAGCTCAGAGAAGAGGTCATTGCCCTGGTTCTCCAGCCTGATTTCTGCAACCCGACACTGGGAGTGTCTCCCTGGGGCCAGTTCCTAGGCATGCACACCCTCCCCAGCTTTAGAGCAGGGCTGAGATTGGAGTCCAGCCAAACTGGTTCTAGGGTCCACACGCCTGAACACCTCCTCAGACTCTGGGTTGTTTGTTTGTTTGTTGTTTGTTTGTTTTGAGACAGGGTCTCACTGTGTAGTGCTGGCTGGTCTGGAACTTGCAGGGATTCCCCCAACTTCTGCCTCACAAGTGCTGGAATGAAAGGAGCCAGCTTCTGCTCAGACTCTTGAGGGCTCAGCCCAGCCCCTCTCTGCCCCTTGCTTTGTTCTGCACTGCTAGGTGCTGCCTAGGAGTGAAGGGGCACTTCCCTCTTTCTCGGACTGTGACAAAGAAGTCTCAGAAAAAGGAAGCCAGGGAAGTCAGAAGTGGCTCCGACTCACAAAGTTGAAAGTGCAGCCTAGGTCAGGGGAGAGAAAGGCCTGAGGCGAAAGCCTGTGTGCCTGGTTTCTGAGGGAAGGAGCCTGTACACCAACCACCATTTGACCACATTTTCAACTCCTGAGGATTTCTTTCTTCCTTTCTTTCTCTTCCTTTTTTTCTTTTTTCCTTTCCTTTCCTTTTCTTTCTCTTTCTTTCTTTCTTTCTTTCTTTCTTTTTTTTTTTTTTGAGACAAGGTTTCTCTGTATTGTCTTATTGTCTTGACTGTCTTGGATCTCATTCTGTAGATCAGGCTGGCCTTGAACTCAGAGATCCACCTGCCTTGCTGGGATTACAGGCACCACCTGGCTCCTAAAGTTTTCTTTTACACTGTCCCCCAACACCTTTCAGGGTCCTCCTAACAGTCATCCTGTAACACATTATGATTGTATTTTTACACTGAACCCGACCTTCCACATGCTAAGCAAGCCCTTTACCTTGAGCGATACACCTCACCCCCACCTCACCTTATTATTTGTTTTATTTTGAGATGGGAGGGGGTGCTCACTAAGCGGTGCAGACTGACTTTGAGTTTGATTTGTAGGCCAAGCTAGCTTGCATTCTTCGGCCTCAGCCTAAGAATCTGGGTTTGTACAACCCTTGTCTGGCTCATAGGAAACCCCAGGCTCCTCCCCTCGGGGGCAGCTCCTCTTCCTCCTTAGATAGGAGAGATAATAGGGAAAGCACAGGCCCTGGTGAGGGGGAGGAGACAGGATACAGGGTCATGTTTTTTTTTCAGGCTGTCTCCCTTGCTCTGTCTTGATGGACGCCTAGCGCTCAGAGCTGTCTCTCTAGGGGATTCCTACTCAGCACTGCTTTCCCAGGGTTAGCTGAAGTCTGATGGTCACAGAGGGAAGACACTGATGAAGATGATAAAGTGGTACCCGAGGGGAAGAAACCGCGGGAGCAATGCGGGCTTCACACAGCAGCCAACTCCTGGTCCCTACTCCGTCCCTCAATAGAGACCCACAGATACTGGCATTCTTCCTCTTCCTCTCTCTTCAGCCCTCCTTCCCGCTCCCATCCATGCTTTTCTGCTTTATGGGTGGTTGGGATAGGACCACGTTAAATAATCCAGAAAATTTACCTTTGGACCGGTCTTCTCCATGAAGCCTTGTTTGAGGTAGTTCCTGGTGATGAGAGGCACGAGCTGCAAGGAGAGACAAGGCTGACTCCCTAGTCAGAGCCAGGAGAAGTTTGGAGTGGAGAAGGGAGCGTCCTCATGGCTGATGGGTCATATTTGGAGTGTGTGCTGAGTGTAGTGCAAATAGTTCAGCAAAGCCAGTGCACAAGCCCTGATTCATCTGTAGTTGTCCAGCATGGTGCAGTCATGACTTAAATACTTCATTCATCCCAGATTATAGATGCAGGCAAGGCTGTCAAGAGACTCACTTGTCGACAGGCACGGTGGCGAATGCCTTTGATTTTTTTTTTGTTTGTTTGTTATATTTTGTTTTTGTTTTTTGAGACAGGGTTTCTCTGTGATTTTGGAGCCTGTCCTGGAACTAGCTCTGTAGACCAGGCAGGTCTCGAACTCACAGAGATCCACCTGCCTCTGCCTCCCGAGTGCTGGGATTAAAGGTGTGCGCCACCACCGCCCGGCGCCAATGCCTTTGATAACCAGGACTTGGGAGGCAGAGAGGCAGGCAGATCTTTGAGTTTGAGGACAGCATGGTCTACAGAGTGAGTTTCAAGATAGCTAGGGCTACATAGAAAAATCTTATCTCAAACAACCAAACAGAAGAAGATCAGAAGAAGGGAAAACCCACCTGCCTGCTGTAGCAGATTCAGGGTACAATCCCTGACCCCCGCCCCCTGGGTAGTAGGAGCAGGAGGAGGGAATCCCCACCTATTTGTAGCAGGCTCTGGGTACAATCCCGACCCCCCTGGGTAGTAGATTTTATCAGCCTCAACACACTCACTAAGAAACTAGGCCATAGAGGCATGAGTGGAGACTTTATGGAAGTCACGTGACTGCTAACATACAGAGGTGGGATTCACACTCAGGGTTGGCAGGCAGCAGGCCTGTACCATCACAGAATGCTACCGACATGTAAAGATAGCAGAGCCCTTTGCCCAGACGCCCCACCGTGCCAGATGAGACCTGGTCACAGAATGTGACACAGGCCAGGAAGAGGTGATGCCAGGGTGGACAAATAGAGAAAACTGTGGATTGGGCAATAGGAGACCAGAATGTTAGCACCATAGCCTTGACCAGCTGCTACTTGGTAAGGCTTCTGTCTCCATTTCCTGATCCCCACCAGCCCTCACAGCCCGCTTTCCTATGCTCAGAGAAGTTCCCAGAGATTGACCATGACTTCCTGTGCTTCCTAGAAGTGGGGAAAGGAGAACCAGACAAATCTAGGACTTCAAATGGCAACCCAGATGCCAGGAACAGCAGCAGGATCCCTGGAGTTTCAGGGGGCAAAGCTGAGGAAGCAAGAGAGAAGTTGCGGCCTGCAATGAAAATCTACACTAGACTATTCCATTTCTCCTTAGACATAGTCTATAGGATTTATTCTCAAGCCGCCTCCCCCCCATGTTCTGTATTCTGAATATGAGCCAGCTCAGGGCTAGTCTAGGCCGAGGGGAGCAAGAGAAACAAGGGAAGCCACCTGTTGGCTGGAGTTCCCTTCAGGACTCTTTCCTGTACTTCAGAAACTGGCTCAGTCTGTTTTCATGATAGCCTGGCAGGTGGCATGGGGCCATGGTGACATGACGGATGGGCACCCCAAAGCTTAGGGGTGATGTCACTTGCTGGGCAGCACACTGGGCTCTCTGACTACAGGGACATTTTGTGTACTTTTATCATTTCCTCCCTCCGTTCCTCCTTTCTTTCCTTCGCCCGCCCCCGACACGTTTCCTGTGTATCCCAAGCTGGCCTGACTTTGAGCTCACTATGTGGCCCAGGCTGGCCCTCAAACCTTCAACAATCCTCCCACCTCAGCCTCCGGAGTGATGGGATTCTAGGCCACCAAGCCTAGCTTTTCTCCCTTGTGCTGAGAATGGGACTCGAGGTCTAACACAAACTAGACAAGCGCTTTACTATTGACCCACACGGCATTTCAGATGAAACCATTATAACCCTGCAAAAAACATTGGTTTCCGGCACCAAATTCTTAAGCCACCCCTAATCATAGGGAAGACAAGAAAGAGGGGCAGGCAGGGCAGGGACGGTAAAGGCGGATGAAGGGAACACGGAGGACACTGGTCAAAGACTAACTTCTTCCACACAACTTAGCAAACATGGGAAGCCAGGCTGGATTAAACAAGGCTGAGCACTTGCTTCATCCCCTCCCCTCTGCTGGGTCAGCTGCGGTCAGCACTCTGGACTCACTGAGCCAGCAGCAGCCAGCTGGGGAGGGGGGAGCTGACAAAGCATAGTGACTTCAGCTTTGAGCCCTGACCCCCTAGCCTTGCTGAAACTGTGTCTAGGGAACTTCTCAATGGCTACATCACTAGGCCTGAAGTCGACCCTATCCCGGGAACTCAGTTCCCTGTAAACCCTGGGAATTGAGGAACATTTAGACTTTAATGAAGGCCTAACAGATGAGACTAAGGATCAGGCTGAGGAGATGGTCCCGGGGGTAAAATGTTTGCCGTGCAAGCCTGGGGACCCAACTTTGAGCAACAGCATCCATCAAAAAATCTGAGCATCGTTGTGAGTGTGGTAATCTCAGCACTGGGGGGACACAGATAGGAGGGTCCTTTGGTCTCTCTGGCCAGCCAGCCTAGCCTGATGGGAGAGCCCAAGCCAATGAAGAGAGATTCTCTCAAGAAAATAAAGGTGGGTGGGCAGCTAAGGAGTGACACATGAGGCTGACTTCTGGCTTACACACACACACACACACACACACACACACACACACACACACGAAACCCCAGGATTAAGGCTGATAAGATGGGTTAGTGCACACACAGAATAAATAAACATATGTCAAAACTTAAAAAAGAAAGAAAGGAAAGGAAAAAACCCAAGGAAAAGAAAGTTCAGGATTTCAGGTGTGGCAAGTGGACCTGTAATGTCAGCATTTGGGAGGTAGAGGTTAGGAGTTCAAGGTCATTCTTAGTTACGTAGTTAGTTCTGGGCCAGCCTTGATTATAGAAGATTCTGTCAAAAAGACAGACAGACAGATCCAAGGATCAGCATGGTACCTTTGTCCCTATCACTTAAACAACAATCCTTTTAATTGGAAGCTTAAACGTCCTCGAGGCTGGCATAGTAGTAAGTGAACACCTTTGATCCCAGCACTCAGGAGGCAGAGGCAGGTAGATCTCTGTGAGTTCCAGGCCAGCCTGGTCTACAGAGTGAGTTCTAGGCCAGCCTGGGCTACACTGAGACTGTCTTAAATAAACAACACTATCAAAAAAAAAAAAGCAATCCCACATCCTCAATTACAGAACTTCATAGGTAGAGGGAACCTCAAGGAGACGTGGGCCAATGACCATCTTTCTGAAAGAAAGGCCTGTGACCTCTAAGGGTTACATAGCATGTCAGAGACAGAGCATCCATGAGAGCCTAGGCCTACTGACTTAAAACATCATCCTCTGCCCATGTCATTACAGCTTCTCCATCAGGAAATAGAGGTCCCACTTGTCTAGGGACAATCAAAATGAACTTCTCAGCTTACTGCTATCTTTGCCAGCACAGGCAGATATAATCCTGTGATAAGGAGGGCCCCAATCTTCCCAAGGACAGGGCATCACAGCACACAGCGGGGATAGCCAGGGAAGGGCCTGGTCCATTACTCGTGTAACAGGAATGATCACCCAGCCCATTTGCCTGTTCTAAGTAATTACTGTCTAGCAAGAGCTATGAGCTGAGATGGGTCAAAAGCACTTCGTCTACAGTATGTAGGGCTCATCTGCACATTGTAGTGGGAGAGATCAGAAAGATGTTCAAATTCTCCAGTTTCCCTGGGCTTTATAAATAAGCCTAGTCTAGCCTCTGAGTATCTTAGGGGTCTGGAGAGAGGAAGAAAAGAAAAAAGGGAAGGGATGAGAGACTCAGAAGCCAAGCCCACATTTAGCTCACCTCAGACTCCGGGAGATCAGGAAAGGCCAATTTTAGGTATTGCAGGCGGGCCGCACGGAGAGCGTTGAACCAATCCACTATCTCCTGCCAGGGAAAATCCAAAGTACACACAGTGGTGAGATGGGTGGATGTGGGAGGACCCTGGTGGCAGGGCCATAGGCAACACGGCTACAGTACACACAAGTGCGTTCAGCCAACATATGCATCACACAGTCCCATTTAGAGACATCTGGAGAGGACGATGTCAGAGCCCAGGGGGCTGCCCTGAGCTAGTCGGAAGTAACCAACAGGAAAAGCTCCCAGCCACGGAAAAAGGCCAGTGTGACCTGCACACATGGCTTAGTATACTTCCTAACGTTTCTGAGAATCACCTGGATTCCTATTAGGAGGCTCATTGGTGTGGAGTGGGCCTGAGACTACATCCCTTCACCCTAAGACTCTCGGGGCTGTGGGGACACACATACTTCTTTGGTCTTTGGGTGTGTGTGGGTTACATATAGAGACATTCCTCCATCAGAGAGACTCAGGACCTGGGATGCACACAGGCCACAACTAGATGAACTTTTGTATTGCCACAGTGAGAGAATACATCCCTCATGACCGTGGGGCAGCATCATCTCACCTGGAGATGGTCCATGGCTTTCTCAGCTGCTCTCTGATCAGACATCCTTCTCCTTTCTTCGTTCACTTTACGGGTATGTGTGAGGGCCTACGTGTACACATGTGCCCCCAAGAGTGTGTGTGCTGCCTGCAGAGGATCGAAGAGAGCCTCGGAACCCTGTGACTGTAGCCATCATGTGAGCACTGGAAACTGAACTCAGGTCCTCTGCAAGAACAGCAAGTGTTCTTGACTGCCGAGCCATCTCTCCAGACAGACTCTGCCTCTTTTTACAGTATTTTTTTTCCTGTTTTTTTCGAGACAGGGTTTCTCTGTAACTTTAGAGCCTGTCCTGGAACTAGCTCTTGTAGACCAGACTGGCCTCGAACTCACAGAGCTCTGCCTGCCTCTGTCTCCTGAGTGCTGGGACTAAAGGCCTGTGCCACCACCACCCAACTCTTTTTTACATTATTTAGGCAAGCCCGCTACAGCTAATATGTATCTCCAGAGCCCTTTTTACTTTTTTGTTTGTTTGCTTTTGTTTTTTAGATACAATCATGTAGCCTAAGCTGGCCTCCTCAAACAGTTAAGTAGCAGAGGTTGGCCTTGAACTGCTGATTCTCCTGCTTCTCCCTCCCAGGTACTGGGACTGCAGGTGTGCACTACCACACCTTCTATTTTATTGTTATTTTTGATACAGGCTCTTGCCATGTAGCCCACATTTGAACCTTTTTGTGAGCCTCCTACCTCTACCTCCCAAGTACTAGAATTATTATCACCACATCCATCTTTTCTTCAGTTCTTCCTTCCTTTCTGTCTGTCTTTCTCTCTTTTTTCCCTAGAGAAATTTTCCTTTAAAATTTTTACGAGGCCGGGCATGGTAGCACACACCTTTAAATCCCAGTACTCAGCAGGCAGAGATAGGTAAATCTATATGCACTTGAAGCCAGCCTGGTCTACATAGTGAGTTCTAGGACAGCTAGAGCTACATAGTGAAACCCTGCCTAAAACAAACCAGAAGAAAACTTATACTGAGACAATTAGTAGCTTCAATACAGAGCAAGGGGCTGGAGGACTCAGGGGTTGAGAGCACTGGCTGTTCTTGCAAAGGGTCTGGGTTTGATTCCCAGGACTCACTGGCAGCTTGTAGCCATCTGTAATTCGCGTTCCAAGGGATCTGATGACCTCTTTTGACCTCCACAGTCAGTGCATGCATACAGTTTAGAGATAATACACACAGACAAAATACCTATACCTATATACATAAAACAGCAAAATGAAACACAGGGTAAGATAGTGCCAAGAATGTAATGCAATGTGTCATTTTGCACTGGGATGTCTCCAAGTATTCTAAACACTAAATCTCCTCCGACCTGAGACCTTGCATAAGGACCTGGGTCTGCTAGTCCTAAGAGTTGCTATCAACCAAGTATCATAACTTAAAATATAAATATAAAGTTATATAAAATGTAAATATATAAACAAAAAATTTTACATATTAAAATATGCATTTATATATATAAATAAAATATAAAAATACTCAATAGTCCCTGGTGCACAGACAGTAACATGTCCTAGGTTCTGCAGTGCACCTGTCCTGCATACCTGCCACTCACCCCCCAAACTCACATCACCTCGTGCTCCTCCTCCCTCCTGCCTTCCCCCCCTTACCTACCACAGACCACCCACCCCATAGGTTAGCTTAGACTCTGGAATAGATTCTCAGGCATTTCTCCTTTTCAAGTTTTTCTCCTCTGAGAACTGCCGCACCCTGATCCTCAACTCCACACCCTACAAGCCCCACCCTGTCTTGGCTACAGGAGCTGGACTGTTACAGAGGCTGGACTGGATTTATCAGGTATGCTCTCTCCCAGGAATTTGGGATGAGGAGGCTGAAAGATTTGCTCTGATGTCTATGTACCACATAAGTGCCTCCTCATACCCACAGAGGCCAGAAGAGGGCACTGGCTACTCTGGAACTGAAGTTATAGACTGTTGTGAACCAGCATGTGGGTGTTGGGAACTGAACCTAGGTCCTCTCCAAAAGCAGCAAATGCCACACTGAGCCATTCTTCCAGCCCCAAGGCTCACAAGGTCTTAGGTAACATCGGTCCAGTGTGTGGCACATGGAAAAAAAAAAAGCCCTGGCCCAGTCTATCCACCTTTCCTCCCAAATCACAATCTCCAGCCCTACCTGGACTTGCCATTTCTTCATTTGTTCATTTGTTTGTTGTTGTTGTTGTTGTGTGTGTGTATGTGTGTGTGTGGTGTGTTGCTGTTGTCTCACTAGGTAGTCCTTGCTGACATGCAAGTCATTATATAGAGCAGGCTGGCCTCAAACTCACAGAGATCCTCCTGACTTTGCCTCCTGAGTGCCAGGGCCTGGTGTGTGCCACCACAAGCCTCAGATTTGCCATTTCTGGCCCATGGTCCCGTCCGCTAACTTTTCTCTCGCTGATGACTGCGCACTGCCCAGCTACTGTGCTGAATAGTACTGCCTAGGTAGCCCAGCTATGTTCCCAGTACTTGAAAGGGTCATCTCCCACATCTCCTCTGCCTTCCTTCCTCAGATCTCTGCTGCATTACAAGGTGGAACTAGACAAAGGCAAGCAGCAGCCGTTGCAGCCTCAGCAGCCGCAGCAGGGAGGTCTCAGGGGCAGCTGAGTGAGCACGCGATGAACTGTGCAGTGGAGGCGGGAGCAGATCCCAAAGGACTGGGCGCCATGCCGGAGAATGCAGAAACTACTTGAGCCATCTCACCTTCCCACTGTCATGATACACAAAGAGATTCCGGGTGTGGTCCTCTTTCCTGTAGGTGATCTGCAGACCGTGGGGATGTCCTATCTTCTCTGTCTGGAAGGTGGCATTCAAGTCCTTGATGTTGATGACTGCTTTGGGGACTTTACCCTACAAGAGAGAAAAACGGTTCTCAAGATACTGATGGCAGTCGGTGCCTTATGGTCGGTCACCTTTTTCAGAGCCTTTTATACAGACAAGCCCCCAATACATAGCCCTGGGTTGCTCTAGCCAAAGGCACAGCTGTCCTACCAATAGCCTGTGCCCCTCCTCCTGCCCATTCATTTTGGCTCCTCTGACCCGGAAGCGTCTAGGAAGCCTGTACTGTGGACTTTCATACGTTTCAGCCACAGAAACTTTGCTGGAGGAAATCCACCACTGGCGTGAAATAAACAGGCAGGTAGAAGCAGTCGTGGGGGCTCAGAGCACCCGTGACTCACATTCTCTGCGCCTGTCCCTTGGACTCTGAAACGTGGTGGAGCACTAACTGATACCAAGAGATCCTGACCAGAGACACGATGTTTCCAAGACCCTAGACCTGCAGGAGCCACACTGAACTAGATTGTTTAGATACAATTTCAAATTTCATCCTTAGAATTTCATCATGTCAGCACTCGGGAGGCAGAGGCAGGAGGATCTCTGTGAGTTTGAGGCCTGCCTGGTGTACAAGAGCTAGCTCCAGGACAGGCTCCAAAGTTACAGAGAAACCCTGTCTCAAAAAAACAAAACAAAACAAAAATTTCCTCATGTCAAGTGCTCACGAGCCAGCTCATGAGAACCAGACAGGGCATACACAGAATTACGTCATCACCAAGGAAAGTTCTATGAAATCTCTCTAGAGGGAAACTTTTGTGTGTGACTGTGGGTACACATGTGCCCCAGTACATGTGTGGAAGTCAGAGGACAAGAGTTAGTTCTTCCCTCCCACCAGGATTTGAACTCAGACTGCCAGGCTTGTGGGGTACGCCCTTTCACCCACTGAGTCATCTTCCTGACCTGAGCGTGTTGTCTGACCTACAGTTTGCATCCAAGAACCTACCACAGGGAAGTAACTGCATGACTATGCAAACATACACTAAACAACGTTTGCTGTGGTATTGCAGAGGTAGGTCGCGCACATCTTTAATCCCAAAACTTGGGAGGCAGAGGCATGAAGGTCTCTGTGAGTTGGAGACCAGCCTGGTCCACAAAGTGAGTTCCAAGATAGCCAGCACTGTTACACAGAGAAAGCCTGGCTAGAAAAAAATACACATAAATACGCATATTATATATGAAGGTTATTTGTGAACACATTAAAAATATAGTTATACCAATATTCACTCTATTTTGAGTCAGGCTCTCACTATGCAGTCATAGGTGTCTTTGAAATTACAGCGATCCCTCTGCTTCTGACTCCTGAATATTGGGATTAAAGGTGTGTGTCATCATGCCAACCTTCTTTCTAATTTCAAATGAAATATGACAGCACCAGGATGGAGTTACAGTTCAATGGTAAAGCATGTATTACTTTGGAACAATATTTATTCTCTATAAATATGCATTACTCCCACTGGTTAATAAAAGAGGATAGGATTGGGTGGGAGAACCAGACTAGGAGGATGCTGGGAAGAAGGGTAGAGTCTGAGGAGCTGTGAGGAGACATGAGATGGGAAGTTCATGAGGCAAAGGAGCCTGGGGAAGTAGATTAATGGGTGAATTTAAATTATAAGAGCTAATTAGAAACGAGCCTAAGCTATTGGCTGAGCATTTATAATCAATATTAAGTCTCTGTGTGGTTATTTGGGGAATGGCTGGTGGGACAGAAATGTCTGCCTACAATGTTTGCATGAGATTCTGGGTTTGACCCCTAGCAACACACACACACACACACACATATCCCATTGCTAAAAGACAATTTCATTGCCTGAAGCTTACTCCACCCTTTCTCCTGCATTTCCCACAGGAAGGCAGTCATGAGTTTCAAGCCTATTCTTCTGCTTCCTTTCTCATACTTGTACAAACACACACGTATGCTCATAGGCATGTATCTATGATCAACTTATTGTCCTATGTGGGTTTTTAATTTGCTTTGTGGTACTGGGGACCAAGCACTGGACCTTGAGCTTACTAGACAAGTGCTCTACCCTCAAGGTCACCTCCAGCTCCTTTTTATCATTATTATTTATGTGTGTGTTCATTTATCTATTTGATTTGTGGTACTAGGGACTAATCTAGGGCTTCACTCACTCACTGAGTTCTTTGTTTCTGCTGTTGTTCTTGTTTTATGTTTTGTTTCGTTTTTTTTTTTTTTTTTGAGATTGAATTTCTTTGTGTAGCCCTGACTGTCTTGGAACTCACTCCATAGACCAGGCTGGCCTCAAACTCACAGAGATTCACCTGCCTCTGCTTCCTGAGTGCTGAGATTAAAGACATGTGTCACCCCTGCCTGTCCTAAGGATTCTTTTTCTCTAGAAAGATATTTTTAAGATTTACTTATATTGTTACAACTATCAGGGTTTTTTTGTTTGTTTGTTTGGTTGGTTGGTTTGGTTTGGGTTTTTCGAGACAGGGTTTCTCTGTATAGACTTCACTGTTGTGAAACTCACGTTGTAGACCAGGCTGGCCTTGAACTCAGATTCTCCTCCCTCTACCTCCTGAGTACAAAGATTACAAGTGTTCACTACCACACCAAGCTGCAACAAGCGCTCTTAACCGTTGAGTCGTTCTCTAAACCCTAGTTCTCCCTTTCTATTGTTGGATAGAAGTCTATTCTCCAGCTATGTCATCATTTGTTTAGCTAGTTATACATGGACATTGTTTTTGTTTTTGTTTTTTCAGAATTTAGCTAAAATAAAGTTTCTCCCCCACCCCCGCTTTTTTTTATATATACTTCACCACCACCCAGCTAAATAAAGTTTCTATGAAAAACTTGTTTAAGAAACTTTTTATAAACCGGGCAATGGTGAAACAGGCCTTTAATCCCAACACCTGGGAGGCAGAGGCAGGCAGATCTCTGTGAGTTTGAGGACAGCCTGGTCTACAGAGCAAAGCTACGGAGTCCAAAGCTACACAGAGAAACCCTGTCCGGAAAAAAAAAAAAAAAAAAAGAAACTCTTTATAGACAAGCAGTGGTGGCACATGCCTTTGTGTGGGTCAAGGGGCAGAAGAAGGCAGATCTCTATGAGTTTGAGGCCAGTCTGAAGTGAGTTTCAGGACAGCCAAGCTATACAGAGAAACCCTGTCTTGGGGGGGGGGGGGGGGCTGAAGAAGAGATGGCTCAGCAGTTAAGAGCACTGGCTGTTCTCCAGAGGTCCTGAGTTCAAATCCCAGCACACACATGGTGGATCACTGCTGTCTATAACTGTAGTTCCCTGGGATCCAGTACTTTCAGGTGTCCAAATGTACATGCAAAAAAAAAAAAAAAAAACCCACATATAGCCGGGCGGTGGTGGCGCACGCCTTTAATTCCAGCACTCGGGAGGCAGAGGCAGGTGGATCTCTGTGAGTTCGAGACCAGCCTGGTCTACAGAGCTAGTTCCAGGACAGGCTCTAAAGCCACAGTGAAACCCTGTCTCGAAAAACCAATATGTACATAAATAAACAAATGCTTTTTAAAAAAGGATGGAAAAAAGAAAGGAAAAAAAAAGAAGTGTTGAACAAAACAAGTTGCCAGACCTTAAAACTGCAGGTCCTCACTTCCACTGGGAGGGCGAGCACTCTGCTCCTGAAACACACTCAGTCCCAGACCGCAGCACAGCAGCTCGCCTTCTAGCACTGCGTGTTCCTCTAGGAAAGCCACAGAGGAAACACACAGGCTGAGCGCCTCAAGTGCCGGCTGAAGAGCTCAGCCCTTACCCCTCCTCTCAATCCCTCCGCTGCTTCTTCCCATGGACGTGTTAGCACTTTTTGTTTTTCTGTTCTCTAATCTGGAATGCCCCAGGGTTCAGTGTGGTAGCCAGCCTCCAAAGATATCCTCACCACTTCCTTCTTTCCCAGTAGGTCCCAGATGCTCTACCCATAAAGATGTCAAATTGCATCCCTTCCGTTAAGCAAAGCTGGCTGCAAGACTTGTGAGTGTTTTGCCTCCGTGCACGTCTATGTGCCACATGCACGCCTGACGCCTGCAGAGTTTAGAGGAGGGGGTGAAATCCCTTAGAACTTGAGTTGTGGGCAGTTATGAGTCATGATGTGGGTGCTGAGAACCACACCAGTGTCCTCTGCAAGAGCAAGAGTGCTCTTAACTGCTGAGCCATTTTTTTTGCTATTTATTTATTATGTGTACAGCATTCCTTCCATGTGTGCCTGCAAGCCATATCAAATTCTGAGTTGTAAGGGCTGCGTAGTGAGACTCTGTCTCACACAGGAAAAAAAAAAGTAGAGAACAACAACAATGAAATGGACCAAGCTAAGCGATTTTAAGTGACCAGAGTGTGGTTGTTGAGTAGACTGGACTGACAGTAGCCAAGGAAAAGTACGAGAATGTCCTGCTGGCCAGGGCTGAAGTCCTCTGTAAGACAAGGGACTGTTCAGTATTGGCATAAAAACAGACAAGAGGACCAATGGAACCGAATAGGAGACCCAGATATCAATCCACCCATCTTCGAACACCTGATCTTTGATAAAGAAGCAAAAAATATCAAATGGAAAAAAGAAAGCATATTTGACAAGTGATGCTGACATAACTGGATATTAACATGTAAAAGAATGAAAATAGACCCATATCTATCACCATGCACAAAACTCAAGTTCAAATGGATCAAAGATCTCAACATAAAGGCAGCCACAATGAACCTTATAGAAGAGAAAGTGGGAAGTACACTTGAACGCATTGGCACAGGAAACCACTTCCTAAATATAACCCCAGTAGCACAGACACTGAGAGAAATAATAAATGGGACCTCCTGAAACTGAAAAGCTTCTGTAAAGCAAAGGACATGGTCAACAGGACAAAACGACAGCCTACAGAATGGGAAAAGGTCTTCACTAACCCCGCATCAGACAGAGGTCTGATCTCCAAAATGTACAAAGAACTCAAGAAATTGGACACCAAAAGATCACATAATCTAATAAAAAAATGAAGATCACATAATCTAATAAAAAATGAAGTACAGACCTAAACAGAGAACTCTCTACAGAGGAATCTAAAATGGCTGAAAGACACTTAAGGAAATGTTCAACATCCTTAGTCATCAGAGAAATGCAAATCAAAACAACTCTGAGATTCCATCTTACACCTGTAAGTATGGCCAAGACCAAAAACACTGATGACACTTATGCTGGAGAGGATGTGGGGGAAAGGGAACACTCCTTCATTGCTGGTGGGAATGCAAGCTGGTACAACCCCTTTGGATGTCAGTGTGGCAATTTCTCAGAAAATTAGGAAACAACCTTCCTCAAGACCCAGCAATACCACTTTTGGGTATATATCCAAAGGATGCTCAATCATGCCACAAGGGCATGTGTTTAACTATGTTTATAGAAGCTTTGTTTGTCATAACCAGAATCTAGAAACAACCTAAATGCCCCTCGATCCAAGAATGGATAAGAAAAATGTGGTACATTTACACAATGGAATACTACACAATAGAAAAAATAACGAAAGCTTGAATTTTGCAGGAAAATGGATGGAGCTAGAAAACATTATTTTGAGTGAGGTAACCCAGACCCAGAAAGACAGTTATCACATGTACTCACTCATAGGTGGTTTTTAAACATAAAGCAAAGAAAACCAGCCTACAAACCACAGTCCCAGAGAACTTAGACAACAATGAGGACACTAAGAGAGACTTACATAGATCTAATCTACATGGGAAGTAGAAAGTAGAAAAAGACAAGATCTCCTGAGTAAATTGGCAACATGGAG